TCTACTATTAGACTTGATACTATCAAGCATACCAAATTTGAATAAAATCAGCCAAGGCAAAACCGTGGTCTAACAAACCAGCTTCAAGTCAGTCATACTAAGACAATGTAAGTAATACATGGTTTCAGTTTAAGTTAATAGGAAATTAAGGTTATTTACCATGGAATAATCTGTTATTTTGGGGTTAGATGTCTGTGTCCTCAAATCTGATATGAATGGACAGACTGGAACAAAATAAAATCAAACTAAACACAGTGATAAGACTACTGTGACTTTTTAATCCTGATACACTATTAACAGTGACCTCTGCCTTCCCTTTTTAGGCTTTTTTTCACCTTTCCCCTTCTCAGGATACTTTGTATGTTTTGGGTCTCACTAGCCCCTTTAGTTTTTAGATTAGGGGGCCAGCCCGTTGACTATCAGAGTGTTGCTGAACCTTTATACCCCTAAGCTTGATCTTGAGCTATACTCCTTTACTCACTAAAATCATAGGGTTTTCCTTCCTTCCAGCTGTGTAGTTCTACAGTGCCCAAAAGTGTCATAGCTTTCCAATCTATCTGCGGCTGCTGGATGAGTTGTCCCTATTTCTCTCTGGTTTACTGTCGCATATAGCTTCGCTTTCTCATGTTTGACTTTCAGTTTATTAACCCTCCTTTGGGTTGAGTGTATTTCCCATTCAGAGCATCTCAATGGAGCCTGTCTCCTAAACTACTCTGCCTGTTTTTTTTTTTTTTTTTAGTGTATCAAGGCTATCTATATTAAAGATTATAGCTTACAGTCTCTGCCTCATATCTGCCACTACACTTTACTGCTATAATTTGTCCACCTTACTCCCTCATTCCACTATCTGCCCCGTTCATTGAGGCCTCTCTGCCACTGTTGCTGGAATCCTGGTATCCCTTCCTCTCTCTTTCTCTGAAATGTCCTTCAGTATTTTTTGTAGGGTTGGGTTGGTGGCCATGAACTCCCACAGTTCCTTCTTGTCTTAGAAACATCTTATTTCTCCATTAATTTTGAGAGAGAGTTTTTCTGGGTACATCAGTCTTGAGTGCAGATTATTTTCTTTCAGGGCTTAGATAATTTCCCCCAGGCTCTTCTCAATTTAAGAGTTTGTGTTGATAAGTCTGTTGTTATTTTGATAATTTTCCCATTGTAGGTAATCTGCTTCTTTTCCCTGGCTGCTTTTAGTATTCTGTTCTTTTGGTGGATTTCTGGAATCTTGATTATTATATGTCTGAGTGTAGATCTGTTTTGGTTGTAGGTGGCTGGAGTTCTGTATGCCTCATTTATCTGGATATCATTTCTTTTTCCTATGCTTGGGAAGTTTTCCTTTAATATATCTGTGAATATTCTCTGTATTTCATTTTTAGTTACTCCTGCTTCCTCACTCATGTGCTTTACTCTTAAGTTATGTATCCTTCTGTCGTCTCTGTTGTCATCTCACTGCATTATTCTTAAGTTATGTATCCTTTTGTCGTCTTCTAGCCTTTGAATTGTTTCTTTCTGGTTCCTCTTTCATTTTTCAGATGTCTTTTCTTCCTGGATCATTTATCATAAATCTCTCTTCAAGTTTCAAAAGGCTAACTTTAGTTTCTGTCAAGGCATTTTGCCAGTTTTCAATGGAGTTTTTAGTTTCCTGGTAATCTCTTTGGATCTGTTTCATGTATTCTAGGTTATGTTTAAATTCTTCAACAGAGACTTCTCTGTCTTTTCTGATTTTCTCTGTTCTTCCATCTGTGTTCTCTTGGGCGGGGCTTATCATTTCTATAATTAATCTCTTTGTATCTTGCCTCACTTGGATCAGAAGTACATTTTAAATTTGTCTATGAGGTCCTGAAGGTATTTCTTTATATTGACTGATGCTGTGTCTAGCGTTGGATGGTTACTGTCCTGGTTCTCTTCTGTATTTACTTCTCCTGGGCTTATTTTCCCAGGTTTGGCAGCTGGAGATTTTTTTTTTCTACCTCTTGTCATGTTTCTGGTTTCTTTCAGACTGGTGTGTCCCGGGGATCTCTGGCCCTCTCCCTATTGCTTAGGGTCTTTCCGAAGTGTGCTGACTGGAGTTTTTGCTGCCCTCCCCAATTTGCTGTTATTTGAGGTACACACAGCGATGCAGGGATGGTGCAGGCTAGCCTCAAGCCTCTGTGCTAGTCAGTCCACAAGTTAGGCTGTACCTTGTGGTCATAGAGTTGTGACAATTTTGTATCTACTTATTGGGTCCCAGCCAGAGGCATATTTCAGTCCCAGCAGACACTGTCAGTTCTCTCTCTACCAGGGGTAGCTGACTGATATCACTGTGGTGCTGGTCTCTACCCAAATCCAAGCTGTCCTCCACCAGACCTCTCTGCGCCAGGGGCGACTATCTGATGTCACTGCGGCACAGGATTCTGCCCAATTCCAAGATGTCTTCTACCAGTACTCTCTGTGTCACTGATGTCGCGTGGCGCCGGGCTCTGCCCAATTCCAAGGTGTCCTCCAGCCAGCGACAACAGCTGCAGGACCCAGTCTCTAGCCCTCACGGGGAATCAATGCAGATCTTCTTGGGTCTACTGCACACTGCGCCACTTGTCTTCACTTTGTTCCCAGCACAGCACAGATGAGTCAGAAAACTATGTGGTGTCCGGCTTCGGAGCCCAGGAGCTTCTCACAGTCTCCGGCACTGCCAGGCAGCTCCGGCTGCTTCGCAGGGCCCCAGGTCTCAATTTCCAGCAGTCTCTGAGAGCCAATATAGCTTTTCCCCCTCGATCCACTGCTCACTGTGCTGCGTCCTCCCGTTAAGGGTTCGGGATTCGCTGACTCCTGTTACTGGCAGCTGCGGTCTCAGTGCGACCTTGGATGTCTGGGCGCACCTAGTACAGCACTGAACAGGTCTCAGTGAGCACGTGGGGCTTCAGCTCTGCACCCACGCTTTTCCTTCCTGTTACTAGTTTTAGTTTTCCCTTCGGTTACCGCCTTGGTTAGTAAGAATCATTATCCATTCATGTGACACTCTCCATGTTGTCATATTGTAGCACCTGATCTGATTTCTCTGCAGAGCCTCTGCACCCAGCCTCCTAGCAAGCCACCGTTTTTTCCCCACTGTTTGTTAATATCATTGGGAGATTTTAGACAGTTGGTGTTACATGTCCTGATGTATTCAAAGTGACACGCAAATGGTAGAGGCACTAAAGTAGAAGCAGAAGACTGGAGTTTATTGCCTAATGTAAGGTTCTACTAGAGCCATCTATTGAGAAATGAAAGATTTGGAGAAAACTGATCTGGGATATAAAACATAATGTCTATTTTAAACATACTAAACTTTAGATTCCTAATAGACTCTTAAGTAGATTGTGAGTTAGAGTTTTAGGGGAGTCTCCATTGACAGTATATCTGTCTAAATACACTTCAGCTAGACATGGCATGTAAAGCCATGAAATTTGATTATTTAGGGAGAGAAAAGGGCCATAAACCAAGTTAAGAAACTGTCCAACATTTCAAAATGGGTTAGAAGGGAATCCAGCAAAGGAAGCTGAGGAGCTTCAGGTGTCCATTGTAATTATAAAAGAGATCATGAAGGAATATCATAGAAGCCCGAATGACAATGAAGTTGTCAGTGTTGTCAGTCATGCTGTCAGGAGAAGTAAGCACTAGACTGGGCATCAAGGACTTTGATAAGAATAGTTTAACTGTACTAGTATGGACCAGAGCTGTACTGGCCTCATACACTGAAGGAGCAGAGATGGTGGTACAGCAAAAAGAGTGGTGTGATGAGGGAATGTTGTTGTCTTGGTAATGGGAGATAGGATATGTTTGCTTAGTTGTCGAGATAATCCAGTAGATAAGGGAAACTGAGTGATGCAAGAGGAATTTGCTTAAATATGTTAAGGACTGCTGCTAAATTTATTCAAAAAGGCAAACAATAATTTCCTGGGTTGAAAGGGAAAGAACAAAAAGCTTTCCTATATAGAGTAAGCAAAATCTAAGAACCTAGATATTGAAGAGAAAATACACCATTTTTAAAGAGTGGCCAGCATTTATTGCCACTGAACAGAGTTAAGCACATAATGGAAGTGGTTAGCAAGGGTCAGATGAAGAACTACTATATTAGAATTTTTTGTGAAGACAGTAAGAATCCTGTGAAGGATTTAAAACTGGGTAAGTTTTTGGTATCATTTTTTCGAAAGGTAAAATTAAAAAAGATAGTTACAGACGCTGACAAAATTGTAGGCAGGAAAATCATTGAGGAAACTGTTGTAATATTCCAGGCAAGTATATTCAAATATTTTGTTTTAGAGTCCATAGAGAAATGCACTAAATACAGAATTAAATAAGATCAGTTACTTATTTATTTATTTTTTTTATCGGTACCAGGGATCGAACTCATGACTGCCTGCTGGCAAGGCAGGTGCTTATGCCGCTGCGCTAAATCCCCAGCCCCTACTTAATTGATTTTAATTGTTTATAACAGTGCCCACATAGTAGTTAATTAAAGATGCATGGCACTCAGGTAAATAAATATGAGGACTGAGGGTATAACTCAGTGGTAGGATACGTGTGAGGCCATGAAATTGTTCTCCAGCATCAGAAATGAATGAATGAATGAATGAGTGATCTGGAGTGCAAATGCTGGGTCTGACCTAGAAATAATTACTTGGGTAAGGTAGAAACATGAAGTTATAGTTGTCAGCGTCTCAGTAGTGAAAAATTGTTAAAATATAGCTTGCCAAAAAAATTAATGAAGCATCAGTTTCAAACCATAGTATGAACAGATTTTGCAGTTTGCGGACACAGTCATTATTGAATAGAAAAAAACAAGAAAACATAGCCATTTTTGTCCTATGTAAGTGTTTTTTTTGTTTTTGGTGGAGTTGGGGATTAAATCTAGGGTTTCACACATGCTAGGCTATTGCTTTGTCACTGAACTACACCCTAGTTCTGTTTAAAAATATTTTATTTTAAGCTAATGTTTATTCTTTATAATAAATTTGAAATATATATATTGTCTTATTCTCTTGTTTAAGATTGAAGAATTAGAAGAGAAACTTAATGATGCACTTCATCAGAAGCAGCTACTAACTTTGAGATTAGACAACCAATTGACTTTTCAACAAAAGGATGCCAGGTAAGGAAATTTAAAAAAAAAAAAACCAGTATTTAGCAATTAAAAGTAACTCTTTACCTGTTTATGCATGTTATTATAAGCTAAAATAGAGAAATTTTGCTAGACATGGTGGCCCACACCTATCATCCCAGTGCTCAGGAGGCTGAAGCTGGAGAATCACCACAGTCTGAAAAAAAACCAAAAAACTAGCCAAACAAAAAAATTGTAAAATAAAACAGAGAAATTTTGTCAGAGCTGATAATTTTCATGTCTAGACCACCAAAATGCAGATTATTTGATATAGTATATAAAACACAGAAAGTCAAAATTCAACTTTCATTAAGTAAGCATGGGTCAATGTAAGTGAAGCACAGAGGAAGTGCTCTAAACACCACATGATTTGCTGTCTAGGTTACTAATCTTTTTTTACTGTATGAAACATACTGATAGATTGTCATGGCCTGTTGGAATTTCCTGACTTGAAGTACTTTCTATTATACCTTCATTTTTTCTCTAGCTTAGCTGAGTGCTTATCTGGAATCCTTCTGTTAATCTCAAATATGCTTGTGCCAGTTATACCTATTATACTTACATAATTTAATTAAAAATTAAATAAAGATGAGTACTAAGAAAATAAGAATGAAAAGATTGTACAGGAAAAAGGAGAAAATGAAGGAAGTGTGGTTTCTTGGAGATTAGAAAAGTTTATCAAGGAAGGAGAGGTTGAACTTAGTAGTCGAGTTCTTATTTAGTGTGCATAAAAAAAAAAAGGAAGGAGAGATTTACATGTGGAAAGTGTATCATTAGTTCATGGGTATAAAAAGAATTAAGAATCATTAACAATCTGGATGTCATTGGGAGCCCAGAGATCTAAGGAGAAAGATAACACTTGGGTTTAAGAGAAAGAAATTAGAGACAAAACAGTATAAACCCTTTTTTACAGTTCTCCCATAGGGACACAAATCAAAAGGAAAGTGAAGTGGGATTGAGTTGTGATTTCATTTGTTTTAAGATAGAAGAAATAATGTTTGTTGACTGAAGTAATATCGTAGGAAGGAGGAATAATTGGATTGTTCCTTCTTAAAGTTTTCTGGTGGGCAAGTAACTAACAGTCTGCTATGTGTCCTTTGAGAATGATCACTGTGCAGATATAGCCTTGGTGATTGAATGAATACTTTAGGGTGGTTGTGTTGTTGTATAGCTTAAAAGGGATTCCCTTCTTGAGGCCACACTCATAAGGGAAATAAATCAGGCACGTGTGTAAACATCTTCTCATCTCACTAGTGTGAGAAGCTGAAAGAAACAACGTATATACATGTGAATATATATGTGTGTGTATAAATATAGTTATGATAGCTATCCCACTGATTTCTCTGAGTTCCTTGAAGAGAATTTGTGCTGGTATTGTTCGGATAATTGAATGCAAATGTCTTGTGCTCTGGGTGAATGATTTTGGGATGACAGCACACGTATGTACCATTGTTGCCCCGTGATTGACATGTTTTGAAATTTTGTCTTATTTTTTTTCTTTGAAATGGATTTGAAAAAAAAAAAAAAAAGATTCTCTGAATACTGGAATAAAAGAAATGAAAATTACTTTAATAAGTAGGGTCCAGAACAGATGTATGAGACTTAGAACTTAAGCAGAACAAATGTATACTTTTGTAATTTGAATTTTCTAAATTGTTCTTTTAAAATATTAACTAATAAGTTATGTGACTACACATTGACTAATTGGAATGGAATTGCCATTTCATGTTTAATTGGCTAAATAAGTGTTTAACTGGATCTACTGGACTTTATTTTTCCTGATTTTTTTATGACTATAGAGAACATTGAGAAAGTTAAATTTCAAAGATTCTTTAAAGCTTTCTATATATTATCTCCTTACATAGAAAATATCAAGAACTAATGAAACAAGAAATGGAAACCATTTTATTGAGACAGAAACAACTAGAAGAGACAAATCATCAGCTAAGAGAGAAAGCTGGAGATGTTCGTCGAAACTTGCGTGACTTTGAGTTGACAGAAGACCAGTATATGAAACTAAAAGGTTTTCCTGAAGATCAGCTTTCTATTCCCGAATATGTATCTGTGAGTATCTTGTAAGAAAAATATATTCAAAGTATTATACATATTTTATGTATTAGCCATTACTTTCAAAGTACTACTTAATGAATTATCTTATGGTATTGATCTGAAGAGTGTATTATTCAGCTTACCAAATTTTAAAAGTTCTTCACCATTGATGTCCAAGGTCAAGCAATAAATAGGATTCTGAAGTTATGAACTATCAAATTTTAGAAATAAATTATTTTATCAAAAATGATAGTTGATAATGGTCTCAAAATGAAAATTGTGACAAGAAACCACAGGTAAATTATTGCCCGGTGTTGGTTAGGGATAGTGGTAGGAGTGGAGTTGGTGTGGGTATAAAGGTATATGATGAGGGAGAATTGTGTGGTAAAATTAGTTCGGTATCTTGCTTACCCTGCTGGTTAAACAGATCTGCACTTGTGATTACAATATAGAGGTCTCAAATTACATGATCCTAGTATTCCTTTATATTCTTAAAATCCCTGAGGATCTCCAAAGGCCTTTTGTTTATATCATGTAGGCCATATCTGTCACGTTTGCTATGTGTGATTAAGGGATTTTTATAGACAAAAGAGTTCTGAACCAAGCATAGTGCCACATGCTTGTGGCCCCAGCTACTCTGGAGGCAAAGGCAGGAGAACTGTTTGATTCCAGGAGTTCGAGCCTGATCTGGAGAATATAGCAGGATCCTGTTTTGAAAAATAAATAAATAATAAATACATATTCCATTAGCCTTAAAAGCCATGATGTTGTATATAAAGGAGTTTTGGCTTGTATGCCTGTCCAATAAATTGTTCTCTTCTAACTTGCTGGTGGCTTTTTAGTTTTATAGGACTTTGTCAGATGGAACACTTGGCTGAATTAGGTAGCAAATTCCCCTGAGAAAATTATGAATGGGAAGAAAAATCTGAACTAATGAGAAGTATTGATAGGAAGGATATCTCCTTTCATCCTGATTATTCCTCACCCTGCAGTGGCAGTGGTAAGCACAGCTCTGCCAAGAGCTTGAAATAAGAACAAAGATGAGGGCTGGGTGACCTCCAAGGTGAAGTAGAGCGCTTGCCTGGCGCGTGCAGGGCTCTGGGCTCAATCCTTAGCATCACAGAGGAGAAGTAGACTTTATCTTTTTATCAGATATTTGTTGTTTTTCATATATTTAGGCATTAGAGATTGAGCAGTCTACCAACTAAACAAAACTTCTTGTCTACATGGTGCTTACCTTTGAACAGAACAACACGGAAGTAATTTAAATATCAGTGGAATGTGTGGTGTTAGGAAGAACAGAAGTGATTAGGAGTGCAACCAAGTGGGGTGCTATGTTAAACTGGGGCAAAAGAATTAGAGAGGTTTTACTGCCAAAATGACACTTGATGTAAGACTTTCAGAAAGACAAGGCCAGGGGATTTAGCTCAGTGGCACAAGCACTTGCCTGACAAGGTTGTGAGTTTGATCCCCAGTACAATCAAAAAAAAAAAAAAAGAAAAAAGAAAAAAAAGAAAGAAAGACAAGGCCAGAACTATGGATTCAGACGTGAGAAGAACTGTTCTCATAGAGGAAGAAGCAAGACTAAGACTCGTAAACACTTGATGGTGTCCAGAGAATTTATTAGTAGATAGTGTGGAATGAGCAATACCTAAGAAATAGGGAGTAGGTAGTAATAGGGTGTACAGAGAAGAGAAGGAAAGTCTGTTGGTGGAGAGTTACAGACTATCTAGTTCTTTGTTAACTGAACATTGAGTATTAGTGATAGGTTGTTTTGCTTAATTGTAGTTATTTCCTTTTATTAATGACAACTGAACTCAAGTTATTTCTAATATTTATCCATGGGGGATATATTCCAAGAGTACTAGTAAATGACTAAAACTATAGACAGTACTATGTCCTTAATAGTATATACTGCATTTATTATACATACAGACCTAAAATCGTTTAATATCCAAGTTAGACATGATAAGAAATTGATAGTAGCCAATAATAAAATTAATCATTATAACTTTTTAAAATTAACTTATGTATTTATTTTGCAATGCAGGGAATTGAAACCAGGGCTTCAGATATGTTAGATAAGTACTGAACCACTGGGCTATAATCCCAGCCCTTTAAAAAATTTTTATAGGGCTGGTAATTTAGCTCAGCGGCATGAGTGCCTGCCTGGCAAGTGTGAGGTTGTGAGTTTGATCCCAGGGGTACCACAAAATAATTTAATTTTGACACAAGATCTTATTAAATTACTCAGGTTGATGTTCAAATTTTGAGTTTCCTGCCTCAGGCTCCTAAGTAGCTGGGTTTATAGGCATATACCACCATGCCCATCTAACAGTACACTTTTACAAAAAAATTTTTAAAACTTACAAGTTTTTTTTTTTTTTTTTTTTTTGGATTTTCTATGTTAATGCCTTTGGGTAGTGGTAAACTATGAGTAAATGAAACCATGGGAAATGAAGCATGAATAAGGCAGACTATTATACTGCAAATTCAAATTTCAGTTGTAATTTGTGCTTTAAGATTACTTGTTATTTCTTTTCTTTTTTTTTTTCAAGATTCGGTTCTATGAACTAGTGAGTCCATTGAGAAAGGAAATCTGTGAACTACAGATGAAAAAGAATGACCTATCAGAAGAATTAAGTACAAATAAAGGCCAACTGAAACAACTGACAGAGGTTTGTAAGGTTTTGATCACTAATAAGAAGTAGCTTCAGTTTTTTCTATGAGGAATTTCTCAGTATTTATAGCGAGGCAGGTCAAAGTCAGTGATGGAGAAATGAGACCAGAGAATGCTCACTGCTGTGATCTTCAAAGGTAATGAGAAAAAGGTTAAACTGGAAGTAGTCATCTTAAAAACTGAAAAGATAAGTTCAAGATACTGACTTGTAAGCCATAATTTAGCATTTTGTGTTTAACTCATTTTCATAATTAAGCTGCTCCTGAAATCCCAAGACGAACCATTGTCTTAGTTGCTTTCCTTATTGCTGAGATAAAATACCTGACATCCAAAATTAATGCAAGAAAGGTTTATTGTTGCTCATAGTTTGTTTCAGTTCATAGTTGACTGGTCCAAGGCAAGGTGGCACATGGCAAAGGGGCATTGAGAGGCGAAACAGTTCATGGCAGGCAGAAGGCAGGAGAATAGTGAGGTAGCTCCCACACTTTGGGTGGTGCCACCCACACACAGGGCGTGCCTTCTCATTATCCATACCCAGAACTATGTTTAACCAGTCAGAGACTGATCTAGTAATCATGCACCCTTAATCCCAGCATCATAACCCTAGATCAGTCTACCTCTGAAAAGTCTCATGAGCTCATAAGACTTTGGGGCAAAGTCTCTCTTTTTAATGTTACTCTGTCAAGAAATTATGCATGAAACAAGAAATGTAGGGCAGGCTATACAGAGGATTTCTTTCAGGTATCCTAAGTAAGAGAATACTTGTGACTTTTTGCTAGTATGACTCTTTAAGTTCTGATTTGACTAAGACTGACCCCTTTAGTCCCTGTGTATAAGTACTAATAGCACCTCACTCATTTTTAAATGAATATATTCCAATATAGTTGATAAATTATATAATCATAACTCTTCTATTTATAGGAGAGTCAACTAATGATTAGCTTGATTATGGCTTTGACCATCTATCCCACAATACTATCATGTTGTTATAGTTTGCTAAGAAATAGTGATAGGTTGATTCATTTTACTGTATTGGGTTTTCTTTAAAGAGAATAAAATCAAACAAAATAAAACAGAATAAAGCCAATCAAAACAAACCAGTGTAAGTGGCACAGGACTTCAAAACAATAGGAAATTAACAGTAGTTACCATAATGCCCCTTGTTGTTTTCAAAATAGCTGCCAATATCTTCAGACATGGTAAAAATCAAACAAAACAGAACAGAATAGAACTAATAAAAACAAAACAATGAATGCAATAAAACTTCAAAACAAGACAATAGTGAATCCAAAATGGCTACTATAATATATCTTGTTATCTTTGAAATAGCTGCCCATGCTGTCAGATGTAACAAAATCAAACAAAACAGTAAAACTCAACCCAGCAAAACAATGAAAATGATATAGGACTTCGAAACAAGATAATATGGAATCAACAAAGGCTACACCATCTTCAGAAGGAGATCCCTTATAGATGCCACACTGTGTACCATTATCCTCTGAATAGACATACACATATGAGTTTCATATTTTAAGTCTCTTTTTAATGTTACTCTGTCAAGAAATTTGTTAGGTGAGAAGAGAGCTAGAGGAGCTGCCTGACCTTATTTCTGTTGAACTGTATTTTTAAAATCACTTTGTTATTTGGGACTGTAAGAATAATTTCTCTTAAGTACATGATTACTCGGGCCAGATAAAGAAAACAGTCTGCAACTCTAGAATTATTATTAATGTGTGTTACATTTTTACTTCATAATACAGCAAGTATCTTATCTTTTCACACTGAAGGGTCAGCAGTGTTTCATCCTTGGTAACATGTTTAGTATGTTATTGATCAAAAAGGTAGATGATAAGAAAGGATAGTTGATATCATTTGAATTATAGGGTTCATAGATATTCTGATGCACTAATAACTCTTAAACATAGAAATGTTTGGAAATCTATTAATCAGGGTTCATTGGAGAAAATGATATATGTGGAGAGGATTAATTAATTGAGAAGTAAAAGAGGAAGAAGATTTATTTTAAGCAGTCAGCTTACACAGTTGTAGAACTTGGGCAAGTTTAAAATCTTCAGGTAAGCTAGCAGACTGGAGTAGGGAAGAGTAGTTCAAGTCCTGTCCTTCCTTTGAAAGTCAGTCTTTTACTCCTGAAGCCTTGAGGTGATTATGTAAGGTTCACTACTCACATTATGAAGAATAATCTGCTTTACTCAAGTTTACTAATGTAATGTTAATCTCATCTGTTAAAAAACATAACTTGGCAAGAGCATGTGAAATAATACTTGGGCAAATATGGCCTGACCAAGTGGATACATGAAAGTAACCATGTACACATTTATCTCATAAAGTTTTATTACCGCTTAGCAAGATGTATAATCATTTTTAAATACTTTCCTAAATTTAATATTATAAGCAGAGGACTAAATCAAAATCAGAAAAAATTAAGCAGTATCTTACATACTTAATAAAAGATACCAGAAATTCAGAAAACATGATGTAGACATAATAGAAGTAATCATTTGTCAAGAGCTCTAGTACAAGTCAACTTACCAAACAGTAAAAAAAAAAGAAAAAGTAAAACCAGCAATATTAAGTAACTTATTTTACTTTAAAATGAATTGGAGGAAGCAGTGTTGGGCCTGGGAGGAGTAACAGGAAGCAATTTGCACTTCCCATGAGACAGAACACCACCCACGTACACCCCCACACACCCCCATAAGCAGCCAGCTGATTTGAAGGATAGGCTGAATTGATAGCAACTGAAGTACAAAAACAATTTAATGCTTGTGTTGTTTAACTGACTTTACAGGCCTAGGGCTGGTAGTCTGAGCATCGTTAAGAGGATAGCAATATGGAATATTGTAACGATGGGGGATTTCCTTCTGTCTTGTTTTTGAAATTAATACTGTTATGTTTTGTTCTGTTTCATTCAGTGTTCTGTTTTGATTAGTTTTATTCTGTTCTTTTGTTTGTTTGATTTTATTATGTCTGATGGTCTAGACAGCTGTTTTGAAGAAAATGAGACATTATGGTAGCCATTGTTGATTTCCTATTATCTTGTTTTGAAGTCCTGTATTGCTTTCATTGTTTTGTTCTGATTTAGTTTTATTCTGGTTTGTTTTGTCTGGTTTTATTCTCTTTAAAATACAATTAAAAAGACAAAATTTTTGTTAATTTTGTCTTTTGAGATAGGGTTCAAGCTGTCCTTTAACTCACTTTATATCCCAGGCTGCCCTTGAACTCACACAGTCGTCATGCCTCAGGTTCCCAAGTGCTGGGATTATATTTACTTATTTTGAAGACAACCTTGAGTTTACTGTGTAGCCCAGGCAGGCCTAAAATTTCCTATGATCCTTCTCCTTCAACCTCCCAAGTGCTGGTTATAGGCGTGTGCCCCAGGCCTAGCTAAACAGCTTATTTTTAAGAAAGACTTTTTAATGAGGAGATGGTGAACACTACATATTAATGTTAAAAGAAATCTTGCTAGATATTGTGGTTTTTAAAATGGTTCATTACATTACCTATAGCTGTAGCATGTTTTTGAGGGATTAAAAGACATTGTTTTGAGTTGTTGTCTTAAGTAGAAAAAAATTTTGGCCGCTCTGTCCCCTTACAACTTCTTCTGTAAAATAGAGGTGATAACGTAACAGTACCTACTTCACATGGTTATTATTATAAGGAAGGAAATTCATTCCGTAAGTAGAAATTGTGTGTCTGCTGTGTGACAAGCGTTGCTATAGGTATTTGGTATATCTCACTGAACACAACAGTAGTTCTTGCCTTCGTGGAGTTTCTGTTTTAAAAGAACATCTATAAAACATACATTTTAAAAGAAACATTATAGATAAGTAAATCATGTAGTAGATAGGAGATAGTAACTGCAATGGGAAAAGGAAAAAGTAAATGAGGATAAGATGAATGGCGCACTGCATTGGAAGCAGGAGAGAAGGTATTCAGAATTCTCGAGGAGCTTAGAAGGTTGCAAAGACTTAAGGAGAATAATAAGACAACCTCCCAAGGAAGGGTTTTCAGGCAGAGAAAAAAGCCACTGCAAACTCAAAAGCATGACTTGTTTATAAAACAATGAGGGGCTGGTATGACTGGTATGGTTGAAAGGAAGTGGATAGTTGGGAATAATAACAGAGTTCTGTTCAAGTCATTGGAAAGATTTTGTTTTTAACGTTAAGTGAAATGAAATACCATATGTTCAAGATAGTGGTTTTTAAAGAAAGCTGTCCTTGCTGAGAACAGATTGTAGAACTGTAAGAATAGGTACAGAGAGAAGTGTTAGGAGGCTGTTTTAGTTTTAGTGGTCCAGGCAAGAGGTGATGGTGCTTCAGACCAGGTGGCAGCAGTGGAAGTCATGTGAACTGATGGGATTCTGAATGTGTTTTAGAAATAAAACCAAAGAGATTTTCTTATGAATTGGATGAAGAATATGAAAGAAAAGGATCAAGTTAATTTTGAGGATTTTGACCTGAATAACTGGATAGGTGGAGTTCACCTGAGATAAGTGCGATATATCTGAGGCAAAAGATCTTAGTGCAGGGGCTGTGGATTTAGCTCAGTGGTACAAGTGCCTGCCTGGCAAGCACGAGGCTGTGAGTTTGATCCCTGGTATCAATTAAAAAAAAAAGAGAGAGAGAGTTTAGGTTTTTGACAGACTGAGAGATCTGTTAGGTGCATACTTGCAGATAGATAGATGTGCAAGTCGGAAGTTGAAAAGATACACATTTGTGAGTCAACAGCATAGGAATAATCTGTAATGAAGTCCAGAGAGTAGTGAGTATAGAGAAGCAAACTGTGCCTACACTGTAGGGTACTTCACAATTGCAGTGTAGGAGAGAGAAAAGAAATAAGCAGTTAGGCAGGAAAGCCAGAAAATTTCATATCTTAGAAGCTAAGAGAAAAATGTTTGTCTAGGAAGAAAAGTGCTGAACTGTCTCAGAGGTCACTGGTAGATCCAGTTAAGTGAAGACTGAGAATCTGTGTTAGCAA